TGGGGAATGAGCTGGCACTCCCTTGTGTGTCTGGACCGCATCACAGCTCCCTATTCAGTTTTGGTCCACGTGTGCACAGCTGTTAGTACAGGAGAGGTGCCCATGCCACCAAGCTCAAGCCTGCTCTGTTAGCTTTTTCCAGCTGCAGCAGGCTAGAATTAGTCAAAGGTGAGGTTGTGTTTGGGCCAGAGGATCTTCATGGCTGAGGCATCCAACCTTTAGTAATGGATGGAGACAGAGGCAACATTTTTAGGAAGGATTCTTTCCCAGTGGTGTGAGCCTGAAATTGGGTCATGTCAATTCCAGCAGAGCAAACACTGGGTCAGCTAGCAGCCTTGTGCTTCCTTTTGCCCAATAGCTAAGAGTAATGGAAGCTGTTGTTCAAAAGAGCTGAAGGGCACCAGGTTGGGAAAGGAAACACAGACACATATGCTCAGCCCTCCCATTATCCCCTCTCTACCCCTAAATTATAAACCAAACCACAGTTGCTCTGGGGATTGAGACAAATACCCCAACCGCACTATACATTTAAGGCATAATATACCACTTTAAACAGCTGTGGATCCCCAAAGAACCCTGGGAACTGTATTAAGAGGGCTGAGAGATGTTTGGAGACTTCTTTTCCCTCCAGACTGGTTTACCAACCAATCTCACTTCCCAAGGATCTCTGTAGCACCGTTTTACATTAGTAAGGATGGTGCCCAATTTTTCCTCAAAGCAGCTGAGTCTTCTGCCTGTTGCCACAGTTTATCCAACAACAATATGAGATGGACTGAGAGGGAGCATGACTGGCCCAAGGTCAGTCAGTCATGGCTGAGGGGGATCTCAATCTGGTTCTCTCAAGCCCTCATCTGATTTTTTAACCGTTACACCAGTGACAGGGAACCTGTGGCCCTCCAGATGCGGCTAGAATCCAGATTTTATCATCCCTGACCACTGGCCATTCTGGCTGGAGCAGAGGTGAGTCGTAGTTCAGGTTTTCCATCCCTGAACATCACTTGGGCTGATCAGTGGGTCTCTTCATAGGCAGCCAACTTTCCCCCTCATTCAAATAGACCATGCTGAAAGTTTGTTTGTTTATTATTGTTAAAATTGCATACTACCCTTCATTTAAAGACCTCTGGGCAGTTCACAGCACAAAAATACAAAATGAAAGCACAAAATACATAATAAAAACAAGAACAAGAATAAAACAAATCAATAACCCCCCTTTCCCAAACACATTTAAATGGGCACCGGATGTTAATCAGCCGAAGGCCTGGTTAAAGAGGAACATTTTCACCTAGTGCCTAGAGGAGTACACTGAAGGCAACAGGCAACAGTGGCGTAGCTGGGAGGGCAGGGGGGTGCACTGGGCACCACACCACGGGGGCGGCACTTACCGCAGGGCCTGCAGCATGCCCCGGCCACGCATCTCTCCTGCAAGTGATGTGGTGGCTTGGGCACCTGCAGGCTACACGCTGCCCAAAACGGCAGTGTGGGGCCCACTTCTCCCTCCGCCACCTGAGGGGGAGGTGGCTGCAAGGCTCTGTACAGCGCGCCCTTCTCTGGCTTGTTTTGCTCCTGGGTGCAGGGCACGTGTGCCGCCCTGGGCGCCCAAGCAGCTACTTAAGCCACTGCCAGGCGAACTTCCCTGGGGAGAGCATTCCACAGATGGGGAACCACGACAGAAAAAACCCGTTCTTATGTTGCCACCCTCTGGAGGAGGCACACAAAGATGGGTCTCAGAGGGTGAGCTCAGGGTCCAGGTCAGTTCATATGGGGAGAGGCAGTTCTTGAGGCATTGCAGTCCTGAGCTGCTTAAGGCTTTATAGGTCTAAAGCAGCACTTTGAATTGTAGAATCCATTTTCTAGAATCTGTTCTGCCTGGTTCAGAAAAGGTTACTGAACGATGGGAGCAGCCAAGCTGGCTCATCTCGCTTAGCAGAGCACCTGCACATTTTGCTTCATAGTTTTCTTTCAAGGAGGGCCAGAGACATACTCTTTTTCAAAAATGTACGTGGTTTCTTTCCCCCGTGAGCCTGGTACATCAGCACCCCTTGTACCCACTTCTTGGCAGCTTTGGCGCGTTCCTTTGAGATCACCAGGGCATCTTCCAGGTGCACCTTCACCATGGAAGTTTGAGGAGGTCCAATCCCCTTGAAAAGATTTTGGGGGGTGCAGGCCCCCAATTACCCCTAGATGGTGCCCCTGGTTTTGCTCCTACCTAGAGAGTTGCTACAATAAAATAGCATTCAGGGACAGTAGGGAGTCAGACAGCAGCAGTATCTCAGGCTCCTGGCAGTTGTGGGATCCTGCAAGGTTCCATCTTGTCTCCCATGCTCTTAAAATTGGAGCATCCAAGAATTTGGCACATGATGCCACCAATATGCAAATGACACCCAGCTGTATCTCTTCATTGCATCCGAATCCAGAGAGGCTATGCATGTGTTTGATGAGGGCCAGTAAACTGAGGCTGACTCTTGGTAAGACTTGCTCTTTGGGTAGCTGGCTCCTGGGTCCCAGAATTAGCTAGACCATCTGTTCTAGGTGGAATAGCTCTCCTCAGACATAGCCATTGCATAGTCTGGAGGTACATCTCCATTCTAAGCTGTTGGCCTCAGTAGTGCAGACGGTGTGCAGACAGCTGCAGATGGTTGGCTAGCTATGGCCATTCCTGGGCTGGGAAAAGCGAGTGGCAGAAGTCCATGCTGTGACCACTTTATACTTTTGCATGGAGTAATTTTTTTTAAAGTAGCGGTAAGTAATCTGGTCTATTTCGCTACCTAATTCCTGCATGCCTAGACCCTGCTTATACTTAAGGGCACTTTCAAAACAGTACCACTCAATCATTTATATTTTAGGGATTAACATTATGGAATAAATTAAAGATTCTGTATTGACAAAGGCTGCAATTCTGTTCACTCTTACCCTGGGAGAAAATCTCACTGAACTGAGTAAAATTGCAAAAGATTGCATTGTTAGGCAGGCTGAAATCTTATGTCCATTTACCTGGGGTGCAGTATGGTGGAGGAATGGAGCAACCACGAGGACAGAAAATGGGCTTTAAAAAATGGAGTAGCATTGATGGGAGAGATGGGGGGGGAAACAGGACAGAGAGCAGCCCTGAGGGGCAGGTGTGTCTGGGTAATGATCCACTGTGGGAGAGAGAAAGATGTGGCGTGAGTTGGCTGACAGAGAGAAAGAGTTTGCCTTCTGTGAAATGTGATTTGTTTCGGGTTTTGGCCTTTTGTGAAAGGGAGCAGAAAGCTATAGGTTCCAAGGATTTGCTGTTGTGTTTTGGGACTCAGACTTGACCTCTGCTTTGTACTCACTTCCTTCCTAGTCTTTTTTGCCTCACCAGTTTCCTTCTGTCTGCCTTTTGAGAATGGGCCTGCCCCCCCCCCCACTCCCTGACAGCCATTTTGCGGTGGTGCCCTTAGTGCTGCCTCAAAATTCGAAATGTGCTTACGGACCAAACACAATTGGGACTCCTATGGTAACCCCTATGACAAGTCTGTGGGGGTGGAGGACCTCGTTAGGCCCCTGCCAAGGCTCCCATGCCAGGAGGGCCCCTGGTGCCAAGACACCTAGAATCCCTGGCCTTCCTCCTCCTCCTCACTGTAGCCGCCTGTTGCCTCATCTTGTCTAAGCAAATGAGCAGGGACAAGACTGGCTGGAATGAGCATCCTCTTTTCCATTCATCTTCAGGTAGCTGTACCCAATGAGAGAGAGTAAATTAATGGGCAGTTCTGGCAACTGGGAGGCTGTGGGGTTCCCTCGTCACAGAGCTCTCTCTGGCACCTTCATTATGCAGTTTCCACTGTATGTTTTATCCTGGCATTTGACATCTGAGACCCACTGACTCTGCACCTGAGATGGTAATGTTTTAAACATTGTTTTCCATATTGAATTTTTAATTGTTGTAACTCACCCTGGCACCTGCTGGTGAATGGCGGGTGACAAACCAAACGAAAACTAATTAAATATGAGGAGGGATTAGGACCCTCCATAGAAGAGGCTTATGGAGAGTCTCTTCCCCAAATCCACCACCCCAAATCTTGGAGCCAGCAGTCTTTTTTTGCCTTTCATTCCCTCCCTAGAAATTATGTCCATCACTATTCACCTCTTGGGGTTAGAATACCACTAGTATGAGGATGGTGTCGATAATGAAAAGAATTTATATCCCACCTTTCAGGTCAAGAAAAGGGCTTTTTGGTGCAAATGTGCCTACCTGCACAAATAAGACCTTCAACAGAGGCCCTCCTCTGGGTGGCTGTTCAGGGAAGGGCCTGTAGTTGGTGGCCCCTCAATTGCAAGATTTTAGTTCCCAGGGAGACTCACCTAGTGCCTATTTTGATTTCCCTGAATGTCATAAAAATCATGGGATTGTAGGGCTGGAAGGGACTCCAGGGGTCATCTAGTCCAACCCCCTGAAGTGCAGGGATCCCAGCAGGAATCTCCACTCACAGCTGCTGTTTTATGCTGGTTTCTTAAATTGTGCTGCTTTCAAGTTGTTTTTGATTGAATTTGCGGGTTTTGTTTTGTCATTTTATTTTATTTTTGTGTGCGTGTCTCCCAGAAACTTACACAGAAAGCGCACACTTTTGAGGACTCAAGAATTGGGGGGGGGGGAGGTGATAAAAGGTGATCACCAATTGTAGTTCCTGAAAAACATCCTGCCAAGAGAGGAATGAAATGAATAAATAAAATGACCATCCTGGCCCCCTTTCACATCCCTTCCCACACCTTTGCCCCTGCAGTGCAATAGGCATATTAAAGTATGAATCATCCGAAGCAGAGAGCAGCCCCCACCCCGGCCGCCCGCCAACTTTTAAATACATGTTTCCTAGAAAGTAGCCAGTTCCGCCCCCTCCCCATCACCCCCCCCCCGTGCTTCAATGCCTGTGCTTTAGGAATGCCACAAGGCAGATCTCAGATTACAGCAAAAAAGCACATGATATCACCCATTTGAGTCTCAGCTGGTGTTGGCTGAGTGTGAGGGGGTGGGCCCGGGGAGGGGTTTGCCCTGAGAGGAAGACTCCTGTGAAATGTGCAAGAGAAGAGGCTCTTCTCAACTGCTGCCAGGCTCAGTCCGGGAGAGGCGCTTTATGCAAGAGGATCCTTTCCTCGCAAGGTGTCCTGCCAGGAACTGCTAGGTAAGAGCAACCACTAGAGAATTAATGATGTCCTGTACTTAAACTGATGGAGCTACAGAGACAGCAGCAAACCAGGAAGAGTTACTCTCTCTGCGGGTGTTTGGGGGCACATGCATCTCTCTCTCGCTTTCTCCTTTTTTCAGGGGTAAAGGCACTGCATTCAGAGACCTGGAAGAGTCAACATGCAGAGTGTGGGGCGCTGCTCCGCAGACCCCCTGCTTTGCAAGCAAAAGGTCCCAGATGCCGTCTTTGGGGTCTCCAGCTAAGACTGGGAAAGAGTCTCCTGTCTGAAACTCTGGCTCGCCGGACTGGCTGCTTCCTGGGTTCTGAGCTGTCAACGTTTCCCTTTTTTCAAGGGAAATTCCCTTATTCCGAATAGGATTCCTCGCAAGAAAAGGGAAAAGTTGACGGCTATGTAGCACTGCTGGCAGAATGCTTTTTCAGAGACGGGGGAGATCAACCTCTGAACAGCCGCTTTAGACAGAGCAGCTGGAGACCTGAGAGTCCATTTGCTCTTCCCTTCAAACTTTCTGTCAACATCATGAACTGTCCCGGGCATAAGAGGATAAAATGTAGGAGAAGGGGAGGGGGGACCCTTCCATAAAGCTCCGTTGGGTCAGACTGAATAATATGTGGGGCCCGGGTGCTGGGAAAAGTTTTCATTACAACTCAGTGCACTCCAACTTAAAATGCAGATAGGTCGTTTTCTCAATTCCCAAAGAAACGACAGGATGAAGGATAGATATGGATTGTGACTAACTTCATGTGCAAACCTCTTCCCAAACCAGCAGTGGGAGCACACGGGATGCAGAGTAAGGGGAGCGCAAACAGAGCCACTTTCCCATTCTTTGTTCTTGGACAAGGGGAGCCAATACTGCACATTAGGAGGAGATAAACGTCTGGATTTGAGGAGACCCAAATTCAAACATGCCTGATCAGCTCCAAAGCTCGCTTATGGATACTGGGCCTGCCTACATATTTCACCCTAGCCTACCTGACAAGGCTGTTGTGAGGACAGAAAGAACTTATGATTTTATTTTATTTTACAAAATAAATCTAAATAGCTAGATAGCTACAAACCCTGCTCTGGGGTCCTTGGAGGATAGGTGGGAAGCAGCATGTGTTAATGGGAAATGCTTTTTTATATATAAAAATACCAATATCAAAATGCTGTGACTTTGCCAAACTGACTCTTTCCACCCTGACCTAAAGAGGCCGAAAGAGAGGATTGCTAATTGCCCACAAGTCGGGGCAGTAAGCATTCAGCAATGTTGCTAGTAGTGTTCGTTTCACCTTAGGAAGCCACAGGTCAGAATTCTGTGTGTCATTTCAGCTATTACAAAATCTGGTGAGCCAGCCCTGCTGCTTTAGTGGGTTCCCCAACTTCTGCCTCACGACGCTCCTGACAGTGCCACTCTCAGGCTCCAGAGTGAATGTTCAGAAGGGTCTGGCGTAAGGAAATCAGATGTGCGGTGTTTGTGAATCTGATAGATAAAGACAAGGCGAATAGTGGGAATGAATAGTACTGATAACCTCACAACCTGAGGATGAAAAAAGTGCATTGCAAACTGAAGGCAGTGGGGCATGGAGTGGGCACCAGCCATATAAAAGTGATAGAATCATAGAATGGTGGTTTGAAGGGACCTTGGGGGTCATCTATCATCACAGCTAAATCCTAGAGTTACATTGTAATCTTTGTGGCTGAGTGGGGATCCCTCATCCCAGTCCAACATCATAACCACTATACCACACTGGCTCTACAGAGATGGGGGAGGGGGGAATTTCGTGGAAGTCAGAAGTTTGAAAACACCCACTATGGATAGTTGTATCCGTCAGTCCCGAGCCAGACTCAAAAAGGATTTGGAGTGGCCTTCAAATGGTGAATATCCTGAATCAGAGGTGTGTGTGGTTTTTCCAAAGTACTCCCAGATGTGGGAGCTCAGGGGACTGTAATATAAACGTCATTTGACGGATTCTTTCTGGACTGAATGCTGCCCTTATGTAGTGCTTTGGTTCGTGGCTCCAGGAGATCCCTGCCTCTTCTGAGGATCAAATAACAGGTGTCACTTACTGAAGTGTGTGCGTGGAATCTCTGGAAATGCACAAGAGAGGGCCAAAATTTAGATAAAAGAGCATGGAGAAGTTGATGGTGATGACTGGGCTGAGGAGGAGGTAGGGTGGGTTATCTGTAGAGTCACAAATGTGTGTGTGGAAGGCACTTCTATGTAGGAAACGATCTATGTGTGTAGGTTGTCATTCATCCTGCTCATGTGTGAGAGGCATGCGTGTCATTGGCCCATGTGATGAAATACCTGTTTTTTCCCAGGCCGGGTACCTATGTTTCTTTGTTTTGTGGGGAGCAGGGGAGAAGCAAGGTGTATTGTGTTACCTTAAAGACTAAGAGTGAGATCTGATGTTAGCCATACTCAGAGTAGACCTACTGAAGTCATTTATTTCAGTGGGTATACTCTGAGTCGGACTATCATGGTGTTTGTAAATAAAATCAGCAAGGAAAGATACAGGGGTTAAAGATAAGCAAGATTGGATTCTAGAAAATAGGTGCTTTCCAGTTCACACTTCAAGTTAAGCCCTCTTTTGTAAGAAATGTTTGGTGAGATCTTGCTGGAAACTGGTGCTGTTGGCGTGGCAGTTTTCCACTGGAGGTGGGACATTTGTGGGGGCTCCACCTTGTGGGCTTCCACCACTCAAGGCGGTCACCCCAGCTTGCCTCATGGGCAGGCAAGACCCTGAGCTTAAAGATCATAATTGTTGGGGAAAATAAATTTAAAAATTCACATTCCACTGTGTGTGTGTGCTTTGATGTTTTCTTAGGCTTGCTGTTCTATATTTTGGCACGTCAGCTTGTAATAGTCTGAATGCTGAAGGAAAAATTGCTGAGGGTCGTGTGAACTGGAACTGGGAACTGAACATGAATGACAGTAGTTCATTTTGTAAAGGGATGGGTGTGGACAGGAATTAGTTCCTTTTGGACATGCTGAACTAGAACTAGTTCTGTTTAAAAATGAACTTTCCAAACACTGTTGCAGACCCTCACTGTCTATGAATAGGAAGGCAACAGGAAACGTGACTTTATGTGCACCTCACGTAAGGGACAAGCCCTTAATGCACAGCCCTGATATGTCCCTGATCTAGAAGTTAAAAGATAAGGTTAGAAGGAGGAAATCAGCCCCCAAGAGCATTTGAACCTCTTGGCTCGTCTCTGGTTTGTGTCAGGGCAAAGGACAATGATCTGAAAAGAAACCTCATTATCTGAGATATGTAGAGTTTAGTGGACCACAAGCACACTGACCAGGGAAACTGCTTCAAGCTGGCTCTGGCTATGAAAGTTTCACTCAACAGCAAAGAGTACACTCCATCCTACCGTTTGAAAGCAGTGTCCCATTCATAGTCCACACTCATCTCCACCTCCCTTACATACAAAAGGGAGCTGGCAGCTCAAGCTAGGGCTGGGAAGACCCTGTGATCGGATGGGGAACTTAGGAGCTTCCAGACACGGTTGGACTGCAATTTCCATGATCCAAACACATCTGAAGGGCCACAGGTTCCCGATCCCTGGTGTAGACAAAGCTCAGCTAGGTTGACCAGTTGTCTGACATGGCAGAATGCAGCTCCCTGGGCTCAGAGATTTAACACCGGCTCTTGGCACCAGGGCTTCCAGTTCAGCATGAAAACTTGCAAGCCCTATTATGTTGCATTCCGGATCAAGATTTCTTCATTGGAGGCTTTGGCCACTCAGCAAAAAAACGTCATGTTGTGGAAGCTGAATTCTCTCCCAGTGGGCCCAGCCGAGCTCCATGAATCTGCTCTGCTTTTACCCCTTTGTGATTTTCTTGTAAGAGTACAAACTGCAAAGGAATTCACAAAGCTTCTTGTAGTTAATGTAGGGGCTTTGAATGGCCGGCCCCTGTTCTCTGACGGCAGCAGCATTCATACATGACCTCATTTGGAAGCCGAGGTCTCAACTGGCACAAGAACTGACGTGTCTGTACAGTTTAGCATTGTGGAGGAACATCTTATAGCCTGATCCTGTAAACCCATGACCCTTTCTTAGATTATGATGATGATGGTGGTGATAGTATTCATAATAATTCTTAGCAAGGGAGGTCAGAATTATTATCCTCATATTGCAGTTGCAAGGGGGGGGGGGGCTGAGACTAATACACACTGGATTGCATAAGGTGACCAGGCTAGTTCATGTTTGAGGGGAAAGGTGAATCCAGGATATTCTGACTCGCAGTGCAATCTCTTAATCATTAAAGTGCTGCTTTTTAGTATGCTGGTCTTCTTAGTTGTTGGGTCACCCTGGCTCATGGTGGATTGGGTCAGTGGCGCCAGCATTGTTTTGTTTTTGTTTATTTGGGTTTGTTTTTTATGAGGAGAGCTGCTTCCAGTGAATTTTCAGTGATGCTGAGGCACTGCTTTCTCGGCAATTGACTGAAAGCCAAACCAAGTTGGAGGTTCCACACAGTCCATCTTATAGCACTGTATTATCTAGCAATACCCAGACCCAACAGCCTTCAAGAGTATTTACTCACAAGTAGAAATATAAGTAGGAAATCTGTTCAGTTTGGGTCCTCTCAATTTCTCATTTTTCCAATCTTAAATTCTGTTCTCCACATTTCCACAGCAATTTGTGGGTTGTTTTTTTTCATCCTCATGAAAATTCATCAGGACTGTAGTTCAAATTCTTCCCAATAAACACACTTTTGTATACAGTCTTGACTAATGTGCACATTTTCAAGCAATTTCCCCTAATATAATGCACTTTTGCATGCCATTTTCACTCGTCTGCATTTTAATGCATTTCCCCCTAAGACATTGTTTGGTGGAGAACTGCCTGACAACATCCAGAGAAGTGCAAATTTCAAAGGGTAGCTGTGCTTTGGTTCACATACTGGTTGAAGAAGTATGAATTAGGTGGTTTTTCATTAAAGTGCAAATGAAATAGAACTCCCCCATCCCCACGAGTCCCGTTCCAC